TCTCATAATTTGCCAGTTGTTTGAAGCCATGTAGATAGAATCCAAATTCTGGGCAATTTTCACATCCATGCAACGGCAGTCCTGACCTGTGTGGCGTGCGCCTTAGCAACAATTAACCACCTCCTAAGCTCCGACTAGCTTTACATTAGCCGCTGTTAGGTCTTAATTACATTAGTTAGGTCTTAAATATTAAGTCCATTTACTGCCTTTCCTTGTTGCCTTTTCTTTTGCTTTTGTTAATGATTGCTGAATAAGTTGTGACGTGTCTCCGCTGAGACAGAGGAGAGGAGAAGCTACTAGCCCTCTCTCGCCTGTCACTTCTAGTCGCGTTGCCTCTCCTTTCCCCAGTAATGTTAAATTTAGCACTCGAAAAAAAACATTAAATAGTGTAATTTAAATAGCGTTCATGGGATTATTAACCCTCAGGGGTCCCTCTGTCCTTTTTTGGACTTTTCTGACTTTCTTTTTTGATTGTGATCATTTTGCTGTGTTACAGCTGAAGGTATGGATTCTGCCCCAAGAAAGTGTTCTTTTTGACATATTTTAAAAATTGCTAATGTCAGTTAGTGTTACAGGTCTATTATACACTGCGTAAACACATTTTTACCCTCTGGGTTTCCTCGCGATCCCAAAAAGGACACCACAAAGAAAATGCCCTATAAATCATCATATATCAATATTTTTCTGCTTTTTTTTTTTTTTGCATACATTCTTAAACCACTTCAGTTCTGCTCAAACCTACCAAATGTTTATTAGTTTTCAGGATTTTTAACCCTTTAAATGCCAGTTGTGAAGACAATGTTGCCTCTTGCTTTTATATAAAAAAAACAACACACAATATGAGATATTTCCCACATTAATACATGATGGAGGGATGTGACATTGTTTTATATCAGAGTCTGAATCAGCTGTGATCAGCTCCTGTCTGCAGTGGCTCATCATGTTCGGGTTACTTGGAAATTGAAGGAAGCTTTTATTGTGGAGGACATCAGAGATTAATGATATAATGAGTAACTGAAGTCATGAATCAGATCAACATGTGCTTTGACCATTAAGTGCTTTTAAAGTATCTTAATCTCTCTTATGGTTGTTTTAGTTGGTCTGGTTGGGCCTAAAACTGAATCAAGTGGATGCTAATGATCGTCCATGATCCTGTGTCGTTTGCCCTGGGCTGCCCTCTGCACGTCACTGCAGCTTCATGACGCCATCTAGTGACGCAGATGGTAGAATACAGCAGCTGATGGCCCAGCTTCCTCTGCCTCACACTGATAAAATTCAAACAGAGAAGAAGAGCCAATCAGTGGAGGAGCAGCTGATGAAAGAAATGATGGACATTTGAGTGATGTGCCAGATGATGATGTGTGTTTCTCTCTTTACACATGAAGTAGAAAGTGTGTGTGAGCTTGATGTGGATGTGAACTCAGCAGCATGGATCAGTGTGAGGACAGAGAGGAGGAGCCCCTCCCTCTATAAACCACTCTGTGTGGGGAACATGAGAAGGCCAGACCAAGCTCAGAGGTTGAATGAGCATCTCTAACTGTCCATTGAACTCACATCACTGCCTCCATCGATTATTCACACTCAAAGCTCTGTGGTGTGTAGTGTTAGAGACACACCACACTCTGCCTGGAACCGGACCTGCGACCTGGACCTGGACCCGACCTGACCTTTTGCAAAAGAGGTAGGCTGTTAACTCACATGATAATATTGCTGATGTTTAAATAGCTGTGTATCCACAGGTTTTATTTAATGTGTTTATTACAGCATCGTTCTTTTCATGTTTTATTTCATATTCTTGAAAGCTGTGCAGTATAAACACAGTCTTAACTGCAGAATCTCATTTAACATTTCCTCCACACAACACAGTCTGACTGGTTGAACCCTCTGTTCCTGTTGTCAGACGACTGAGTAGTAAAACGTGGATCATCTCAATTCCCTTAAATCCTCGTTCCCTCTCGCATCTCTTCCCTGCGTCTTCGCCCTCGACTGAAGACAGAGAGATGATGAAGGAAAAGATTAAGAGAGAGAACAAGGAACATGATTTTAGGAAATGAGACGTCCTTTCTCTCTGATACCTTCATCTCCTCTACAGCAGCTTCAGCTGTCAGCTTACATGTGCATGAACCATTTCTCATTCTCTGTTTTCATGTTGTTTTCACATTGAATCCACTGAACTGCATCTTCAACAGGTTGTCTGTTTCAGTGGTGAAAAAACACACTTATCCTGGTTTTTAACTGTATCACCAAAAGACTGTGACGTGTCTGGAAGCACTTCAGATTAATATTCCTGTGTCTTTCAGGAGGAAAACTGAAGAACCGGGATCCATCTGTGTGCCATTAGGCAGTGACGGTGGTCCATAGATCACCTCTTCAAGCTCAGAAGATCAAGAAGTCAGAATTTAAATCTGACAAAGACGTTTCTCACTTAAATTCAGTTGTTCTGTTTAATAAGCTTAAACTGAAGATATTTTCTCCAGTTTTATTCAACATGCACATTACAGTTCTGTTTTTAGTTTCAGGACCAGCAGCAGAGACCAGACTCTCCTGAACCCACCTGTCTGTCTTTAAAGAGCGACCTATTCGAAGGATTGTTTCATTGTGTTTAAAGCGGCGGGACGGGCCATCACGCTGATCAGAGTGTTTTAAGCTGTAACGACAGTAAGACTCAGGTTATTTGCTAGGAAAAGAACTAGTTTGTACGACGTGTTGTTGGACCTGGTCTGAAATCAAAGTGTTTGTGTCTGTTGTGAACGTCCTCACTGGAAGGTGCGAGGTTAAAAACAGTGGAGGCGTTGTGAAAGAGCTTGTTGGGACTAAAGCAAACACTAGCTGAAAGCTACAAACAGCTGCAACTGGCCAGCTGTTGAATTCTCAGTCAGGTATCGGCGTAGGCACTAAGTAAACAATTATACCGCCTACAGGGAGTTCGTCTGATTGGCTGTCACATCCAAAGTGACTTGATGACCTTTAGCTTGTGTCTGTCTCTGTGTGGACAGACATAATCTAGGAGCTCATTCTCTGATTCCTCCACAGAGTGGACCAGGAGAGCTCAGAGGTCCCAGCGCCCTCAGGTCTGCCCAGCAGCATCAAACACAGCTGGACTCCATTATTTTATGGTCTGCTACATGCTCAACAACTACTGCTCCATTCTGTTTGTGTTCACAATAATCCCATGACTGCCACTTTTCAGGCTGTCCAACATGGATCTGATGTTTGATGCTTGTCATTCATATAGTTTCTGTTCCAGCTTGCTGGAGGAGAACATGCTTTCACTTTGTCAGAAATGAGCTGAAGAAGATGCACAAGCTTCTGAGTCCAGCATTACCCAGAATGCTCAGGGAAGTCAGAGGGAGATGAGGAGGTGTTGGACGCCTGAGGAATGAAGAGCAGAGGAGGACAGAGAGCATTTGTGAAGATCACAGTGAACTTCCGAGGAGAATAAGCAGGAGCAGCTGGCTGACTGTCTGCAGAGCAGTTAAGAGGATTTCTCAAAGATTAAGACCTTATCTCACCCTGACTCCTTTGCCTTGATTCAGTCCAGGCAATTTTTGTTTGGACCAGCTCTGTTTTCTCCCACACCTGCTATCACAATATCAGGGTATTTTATAATATGTAGGACTAACCAATAGATATCAGATTTGGCAACTCTGCAGTTACTTCAAGACCATGGCCAGTGTTTCTCATGCCTCCTCAATTCTTCAATTTAATTGTCACCCAGCATTCATATCCACTTATAAGTGTTTCCTTGCATGAAAAAAGTTGAACAAACTGAACAAAACAAAAATTGTGTAGTTCGATCTCTGTACTGTATCTAAGCCATGCACGTTTGGTGCCATTTTAGTATCGATAGGCTTCTTTACAAGCTGCATTTTAGTCTCTGTTTGGATGGTTATTTAAAAGAAAAAATTTAACTTGTGTTGATTTTAGATGTGAAAAGATTATTCATTGTCAACTGTGCTACATGAATCCCTCTGGCCTAGCTTCATTAGCTACGTCAGCTAGCTCTGTTAATGTTATGCCATAATCCCACTTAACTTGCTAAAACTGTCACTTTCACTACATGCAGAATACCTGCAAGTTGTCATATCACCTTAAGAAAGAGCACAGCCTTTTCTTGTCCATGTCGCCATTAGCCTGTGAGCTGGCCCTTGGCTACCAATAACTGAGGTGGAAATTTCATACGATCTCTCTCTGGGTAGCTGCGGGACGAGTTACGCGCCAAAATTTGGCGGAAGAGGTGTGCCTCGGAGCTGAGCACCCATGGTACTAATAAGTGGAAAGTGAACAGTGCAGTGCAACAGGCCTGTAAACCAATAGAAATCAAGCACATAGAACCAGTTTACAAGTAAGTTTACATTGTAATGAACATTAAAATGCTCCTGACATGTTAATGCATCTGGAATAATACAATAATAACTCATAGAATAATATAACAAGTAATGCTTTGGATGCAGGATTATAACTTGTAAAGGAGAATTTCTAAATTGCCTTATTTCTCCATTAAGTGTCTGAACACTTTATCCTCCCTCAGAGAATCTAGAGCTGTCACGGGGCCCCTTTCAGTCGGGCCCCTGACCTATTAAACAAGTTGTTCAATAGTTAAATCTGAACCTGCATAAAGTACCAGCAGCAAACCAACAACCAAAACAACAACAGAGACATAGATAGGTGTCGCTTCAATAAAAATACCAGATATGTTTTGACAGACAGCTTTTCTGTTTGTGTTCAGTCATAGATATAATCACCTACCGGAACAGCAGAAATGCTTTATTGTCAGAGGATTTATGGAGATGTATCATCAAATTGATTATGTGGAGTTTTTCCTAATAGTTCCCATTTTGCAATAAATACATTTTAAAAATCCTTATTGAGAGAAAAAGGCTCAACTACAAGTAAAAATCCTGCTTAATAATCTTACCTGGGTTAAAGCTCACAAGTGTTATTAGTCTGAAACGGGCTCGTGTAGGACCCAAATGCAGCACAACGGCAAGGGATAATTTGTAATTATCTTTATTGAGAACTTCACAGCAAGTACTGTAGCAAACGAGCAGGAGGAAACGAGTCCGGAGTTCAGGGGGAGAGTCTGTGGCGGGGAGCACGGTTCAGAGAGGCAGAACCGGGACCAGGGAACAGCACTGTTCACAGTGGAGCGCCAGGTACTCACAGCAGTGGTAAAGCTCAGGATGGCAGGAGAGCGGATACCAGCAGGAAGCGTGGAGGAATACCGAGTAGATCCGGGGGACAGGTGAGCAGGGACAGGGAAACAGGCAAACAGACACAAGAGACGCTCAGGCAGAACTCGTGGTCGGGGACGAAAGGCAGAGGTGATTACCGGGGCTGAGACAGACGAGCAGGTCAGAGACAGGCAGAGTCGGCAACGGGAGATCAGTCCGGGAAAAAGTGCTGGAAAGACTTGCATGACGCGAAGAACAATCTGGCAAAGAGTGTCAAGAGGTGGGTGCTTATATCCAGGGTTGATTACTGATGTGGAGCAGGTGTAGAAAGTGGGAGAAAATTACTGGGTGCAGGTGAATGGGAAAAACAGGCAGGAGACTGGAATGGATTGTGACATAGTCAAATATAGTTAAAGAATCAAGTATCATGCAGAATGGACTCTGTCATTATTATATCATCATATTGTCTGAAAAGTAACTGTAGCTGTGAAATTAATGTAGTACAAGTATAAAGAAGCAGCAGAACATGGATATACTCTAGTAAAGTACAATTAAGATTGTAATTAAGTAAAGTACTGGAGTAAATGTATTTAGTTACTGTCACAATCAGACACACCCCTCCAAATAACTTGAAGAGACAGCTCCAAAATAAATGACTGACAGTCTCAATAAAGTGTTCACAATAACATCAAATCTTAATTCAAAGGAAATCTCTTTCATTACGTCACTGATGACGTTTAAACCCAAATTTTGATAAAGATGAAGTTCCTGTTGGAGGAGTGCCAGGTTTGTGACGCAGTTGTCTTTCTGAATACGGCCATGATTACTTCTTTAATAACAACAACAGCTGTCTGCCCCTCAGCCCGCCACACTGAGTCCACATCAGTCCTACAGTGTAAATCTAATGACAGACCGTTCACCCACAGAGAGTCACAGCTGTTCTCCAGCGGCTGTCCGGCAGAGCTCAGGCCGCATTTAGTGGCTCAGACAGCGGGAGAGCAGCGGCTCATCTCCGCCTCCTCCACAGGCTGATTCAGGCGGGAACAGCTGCCTCCAGTCCTCAGCAAGTGGAGCTACACAGAAATAACGAGTTTAATAATAACTGTTAACAAACTGTGTTCAACCACCGACCATCAACTAACTGTGTTTCTACTCTTATTCCCCCGCTTCCACTGAAAACATCGAAACAACATGGCGGACATTTTTAAAGTGCGTGAAGCTTTTACAGCTCTGAATCAGTTACAGTAACATTATACTTCAATAACAACAACACAGCAATTACACAACAATAACATGAAGGTTAGATTACTCAGGTAACGACACGTGTTAACGAGTAAAACATTGAAAACTGCTCACATTACCTTCAGAGGAGAAAACCATCTGGATCAATGTAGAAAGTGAAACTAAAATCCAACAAGGAGAGAGGGAAGGAGGAAGTTCGTGTCAGAGGGAAGAGTCATGGAGGATTACTAAACTGGAAACAT